AGGCCAGAGCCCGGCCCGGTAAACCCCCACCGGACAACGGCCTTCCCCTTCCCCCGCAGAGCATCGCCGAGCAATCCCGGCCTGGCCGACGGGCGCCCGGCGAAGAAAGGGGCTCTACTCACGCAGGGGCTCCCGCAGCACAACGAGCCTGCCAGACTGAGGGAGCCGCTCGCCTCGCGCTCCGCCGGAAAGAAGGCAGGCGCGCGCCGCGCGGGGGGTTGTGGGAGTGGCGCCTCTCCGGGGACGCTCTCTCTCTGCAGAATGGGGGGGGGAGTGAGCGGGCCGCGCCGAGAGGGGCGGCCGAGGCGGAGGGAGAGAATCAGCGATGAGGAGAAATTCTGAGGCATAGGTAGGACTTCAGGGGTGCGATGAGAGGTGGACCTTTTCCTCCTTCTTCCTTCTCCTTTCTTTCTCCCCCCCCCCCGAACTGCAATAGTGGAATAGGCCAGGTTGGGAGGGCTAGGCCACGATGGTGGAAAGGGGGGTGTCTGTTTCTGAGACGTTCCTCCCAGAAAATATTTCCCCCTTCTTGGCCTTACTTGCTCTCTCCACATCTGCGGAGAACATGGCTGTCCAAAGGGAGTAGCCTCGAGGAATGGAGTAATTGGGATTTGGGGGGGAAAGCACTACTTTCTCACACCCCCGTTTTCCAGATTGAAACAGTCCAAAGGCGCATGGAAGGAATCAATGCAATGCCATGGAAGGGGGGGAATGAGTGGAATGGCCCATGGGGAAAAGAGAGGGGGGAAAGAGCGTTCAACTCTCCCCGTTTATCACCCGCTTTGCTTTCCAGAAGTTAGTGGAGGGAGCTTAAAGGAGGGGCTGTTATGGCAAAGGGACAGGATGCCCTGCTCGCTGCAGAGGAAGGACCTGGGCTTGCCCACAAAAGAGCTGGCACTGGCAATGCCAGGCAGGATTTTGGATGCTGTAGCACCCGCCCCTCCAGTCTTGCACTGGTGCACAGCATGCCTGATGGTGTCAGGAGTGGGATTTGCAGCAACACCTTCCTGCTCAGCCTTGCTCATGAGGACGAACTGCAGGCTGTGGAAGTCAAGAAAGACGGGTGCCAGGCTTCAGCCCGGCAGGATACGGATGTGCCCAGAAGCACCCTTTGCTGGTGGCTTGAAGATGAGAATAAGCTGTGCTGGTTTGGGGGCCGATTGGGAGGGGAGCTGGGCACCTCCTGCAAGGAGGCGGCTCCCCGTGCCTGGTTCAGTGGGCATCTGGGCCCCTCCAACCTTTGCACTAACACCACTCCCAAACCCTCATCAGAAGCATCTGAACGTGAAACAAATGGAAGCTTAAAATACAGCCACTTGAACCAGGGTGGCGACGTAAAGCTGCTTTTAATTCCTGAGCAGCTTTTTCACTCAGGGCAGCAGCAAACTTTATGGTCCTGGTGAGGACCATAAAGCTCGGAGGACTTTTGCATTAGCTGAAAAGTGTGGTATAAACTGATTGTACTAAGTTGTCCCTTCACCGTGAATGATCCCACCTCCTTCTTGGTGGCTGAAGGCTGCATCTGCTGAACGCCTTGCCTCTTCTTCTCTCCTGGATGAACTTCTTACACACCATCATTTGGTGCTGAACGGGGGGGGGGGGTGTCTTTGCAGCCTCGCTAGAAAGACACCATTAGCTCGAAGCGGGAGGGGCACGTACGCAGGATACCTCGAGGATATTCAGGAAGGGGTCTACAGCCACCTTGAGGGCATCCAGGAAAGGGTCTACAGC